GGCAGACTCAGGAAATGTCAGTTGTGTCTACTTCACTCCTTCGCTGGCACAGTTAACTACACACGTTGAAAAAAGCAGTTTTCCTATGAAACACAAGCGTCTCACTGCACTAGCACTTGAGCTGTCGTGGGGCCTCTAGGGGAAGCCACAGTCCCTGACCTGGCACAGATGCCTGCCTGGGAGCCAGCCCGGCCGTCAGGTACCCGACCCCTCTGGATTCAGTGCTGAGGAAGCACAGTGCTGCACGGACCAATCTTCCAACCTCTACAATCACATCCGAGCAATCACATCCAATCTGTGGCGTTGCAGTCTGCTGATAATGCCCCAAGTTACCTATGCATCCAGACCTCTCCTATGAACTCCAGATTCTAATGTCCAATTGTCTTCTCGATTAAAAATCCAAAAAGCGCCCTAACCGGTTTGGCTCAGTGGATGGGGCGTCGGCCTGCGGACTGAAGGGTCCTGGGTTCAATTCTGGTCAAGGGCATGTGCCTTGGTTGGAGGCACATCCCTAATAGGGGGCGTGCAGGAGGCAGCTGATCAATGTTTCTCTCTCATCGATGTTTCTGGCTCTCTATCCCTCTCCCTTCCTCTCTGTAAAAAACCAATAAAATATATTTTTAAAAAAATCCAAAAAGCATCTCAGACTTAAGACACCCAAACTCTGCCCATGACTAACTCCTCTCCTCTCCCCATCTCCTAATCTACCCTTCCCATGATGTTCTCCATCCTTTCCAATCCCCAGGTCCAACTCCTCACAGGCAATCCTCATTCTTCACCCCTCACCTAAATCGTCACCAATTCCTGTCAGTTCTGCCGTAGAGACAGGCCCAGATTCTGACCATTACTGCCAGCTGGATGAATGCAGAGGGTGGCATTCCTCTGGAGGCTTCAGGGGGAAATCCATTCTCTTGGCTTCTTCAGCTTCTGAAGGCTGCCTGCATTTCTTGGCTCATGGCCCCTTCCATGCATGACTACACCCTCGTGATTCTGTCATCACATCTACTTTGTACTGTCTCTTACCATCCTGCTTCCCTCTTCTAAGGACCCTATAGCTATACTGGGCTTACCTGGGTAATGCAGAATCATATCCCCATCTCAAGATTCTAAATCACATCTGTACAGTCCTTTTACCATGCAAGGTAACACATCCCCAGGTTTTGGTGATAGGACGAGAGCATCTTTGGGCCATTATTCATGCTCCTGCACTATCTCACCCTGAGTAAAGGCCAAAGTCCTTAAAATGCACAGAAGTTCCCACAGGATATAGTCCTCACTTTCTACCTAAGCTCTTATCTTCCAACTCTCCCCTCTGCTCACTCTGTCCCAGCTACACTAATCTTGCTGTTACCCCTCAACATACAAGCCCACCTCATTCCCTGGCACTTGCTATTCCCTCAGCCAAAGAAGCTCCCTCCCTAAGGTCTCTGATTAAAAGACATCATCATAGTATTGAGGCTTTCCCTGCTGACTCTGTAATAGAGCAACACCTCCCTACCCCAATATGGACATTCCCTCCCATGCTGATTTTTCTTCCTAGAGCACTTTCATCTGATATGCTATCCACCCATCATCCATTCATCCTCCCCAACTAGAATGCCACAAGGCATGCTTCGTCTCTTGTTGTATCCCCAGAAAATAAAACATGAAGCCGGGACTCAATAAACAGCTGCTGAATATGTGAATTTTACTTTATCCAAAAAGTAAGTTCCTTAGAGACAAGACCTGGCCTAAAGGAGGAACTCAGTAAATGTCTAAATGAATGAATAAATGAATGGGTAAATGACAGACCCAATTTATATCTAATTTTCAATGGATAAACTGGACTAACATCAAATCAAGTGAGTTACTGTGTAGGAATCAGACACAATGGTTAAAGTAACTTATTCAGGGTTACACAACAAAAGGAAAGTAATAAAATTACATGTTAAACTCCATTCAAGCCCCTGACTTTATTTTGTGGTGTCCCTGCATGTTCTTATATCTGACAGGTCAGAACCCAACTGGATTCCCTTGCTTGGCCCAAATACTCTTACCAACCATGTTTCCAGTTAATAAACTCTGAACTTATTTTTAAAGGAAATTTCACAGAAATCTCCAAAGCACTAATCTTGCTTTTCAGATACATAAAAAATAAACATATAGGGGAGAGACCATTATCCACACTTTAAAATGCACCCAGAGCAAACCTGCAGCCAGTGGATGCTGGTGGGACAGATATAGGAAGGTGCAAGTACATCCGGCCCTGCACTGGCCCTTAGCCATATGGGCACCTTGTGCATCCAACACACAGACAGGCACTCCTGCTGTGGCTGGGTGTTTACTGGGGAAAGAACGACAGCGACGATGCAATTGGCTTGGAGTGGAAAGGGGAACAGCAATTTGTTCCTCAGAGGCCATCTCATCAGCATTTTGCAGTTTTACCCTAGCCCGGTTACTTGCACACCAGCCCTGGCGGCCATGTGACCGGCCATATCGTGTCATCTGTCCCCCTGCCACAGCTTGGGGAAGCGAGCAGTGCCGCATCGTGTTCACACTCGGAAACCGCTTTCTAGGAATCCTTCTACTGGCACAATGGGGAGGAGGACCGCACATTGGTTAGGAATGTGGACCTGGAGGACAGTCAGTCAGGGTTCAGATCTCACCTCTGTGACTCACTGTGTCCCTACGAGCGTGTCACCTATCTTCTCCAAGCCTCAGTTTCTTCACCTCTAAAAAGTCAGCTTACTGTGCTTATGACAATGACAGCAGAGAACACATGCTGGCTAGTGATATTATTATATCACTATTTATTATACTTGACTTTTAAAAAAAATCAGTGTGTAAAAATAAATAATACATCTGTCTTCATCTTGAGGTTATATTTGTTACAGAAACTCCCAGGGGTTTATCATTTATTTCCAGCTAAGTGTTTACCTATAATTAGGGAAAACTGCCACCAGGCAGATGTTAAGATTATGCTTTTCTAGATATGGCTCACACAAAAAAATAAAGTTATTTAGAGACTTTCTCCTTAATCCACTGCTGAGTAAAAAACATGTAAGTTGTTATCGGAGAGCTTAACAGAAATGTTAGACAAATATGATAACAAGCAGTATTTAAATAGGATAAGCAATGTGAGTAAGATTTTAAGATATACATAGGTATGTGTAGGTTCAACTAGATTTTTTTCTAACAAATTATTATCTGATAGAAATAATTGATTAATCTAATGCCCTACACTGCCTCACTGCTTGACAAATGAAGTAAAACAACAAAATACACTTTATTTTTCATTTCTCCTAATCACACTAATCAAGGATGCACCAAGTGAGCTTTACCAAATTAGACAAGAACTAGTCTCCTGCAGGGAAATTCTCATTTCACAGGTTGGGAGGGAGCAGGTACTCCTATTGTGCAAAAGCTTGCCTGGTATGACCAACGCTAACACCTGTGGTTACCAATCACTGTATAGAATCTTTCTTTTGAAAGAAGTTTTCAGCCTTAAAACATTTGTGCCACGCCAGTGTGGCTCAGTGGTTGAACTTTGACCCGTGAACCAGGAGATCAAAGTTCAATTCCAGTCAAGGGCACATGCCTGGATTGTGGGCTCGATCCCCAGTGTGGGGTGTGCAGGAGGCAGCCGATCAATGATTCTCTCTCTCATCATTGATGTTTCTTTCTCTCTCCCACTCCCTTCCTCTCTCTGAAATCAATGAAAATATATATTTTTTAAAAAGTTTCTTGATCCTGTAGCCTGCTCCTAAAGTGAGACTGGGCTACTTCTAACTCAGAGAAGGGGAGGTGCTGAAAAGCAGCACAACTTTCTCTAGACCTTTTACACTAACAAAGGAGCTCAAGGATATGGGAAAAGTGGGGGTAAAATTTTCCATTTGTTCCATGGAAGCATGTGAATGCTTTTCCTTTAGGCCAGCGCTGCCCAACAGAACTTCCTGTGCTGATGGAAGTGTTCTCTATCTGCATTTTCCACACGTGGCTACTGAACACTGAATATGTGGCTCGTGGCGGAACAGCACAGCTCTGAACAGAAGTCAGACTGCCTGCTCACAGCCTTTCTGAAACCTTGCTAGCCTATCCGAGGGTCTCACTTCATTAATCATTCAGGACATATTCCTTGAGCACATACCCATGTACATAGTAAGTAAGCAGGGGAGAACAAATATAGAAGCCCCTGCTCTGAGTGGGCTTACATTGGGTTAAGTGTGTTTTTTAAAATGATAGTATTTGGGGGCAGAAAAGCAAAGTCTTAGTTTGAGAAACAATGCAGTTCGATGTATAGAAGAAATGAGAGGATACCGAGGGTGTGCATAAGCAAAGTGAACTCATGAGCCTTTTTCTGGAAGAGTAGCGTAGCCTAGTAACAGAAGAACAGCTTTAGATGTTATTTCCGAGGAAGGTCAGAGGCCAAAGGGGCCACTTGAGTGACCAGGCAGAGTAGTAAGATTCAGCTGCCAACTGGACATGGGATAGGACAGAGGAATTCCCAGATAGAACACATTTCAAATTCCCACTGGAGGTGGAATCAGGAGGAAACCAAATTCATGACTGGGAAAGGTATTCAAGCAGCTGTAAGAAACACAACTATTTGGTAAGTTTTCAAGAGATTAAAATTTAAAAATACAGGATTAAAAAAAGTAAGAGTGTTCGTATGATTAAAAAACCAAAACCCATCTCCAGCTAGTAAAGGAGGAGCCATAGATAAGAGGATCACCATGCATTTGGGCTCTTTTCACTGCAGGGTGCAGGCAACTGGGCTGGGTCATCTCTCATCAGCCACTTCTGAGACACTGCAGTGGCAGCCACTGAATGCAGAGCCAGGGCAGGCCAAACCTGGCACAGCTGAATGCTGGTCAATGACAAATGCCAGTACATGATCAGAACTGGGTGCCTTGGTGAAGGGTATGGCCAACAAGAGGGAGGGAGGGTTGTTCAGAATTGTTGCATTTGGGTAATTGGTATTAATTAAATCCAGAAGTAAGCTCATTCATCAGCAACCTTACCTAGTTCTGGGGGTAGAACGGTCAGGCGGTTCCCCTGAATGTGGAGCTCCTTAAGCTGAGTAAGCTCCCCGATTTCCTTAGGCAGCGAGATCAGGTCGTTATCCCTAAGGCTGAGCTAAATACAAGAGAACAAGGAGTTGTCAAAACAATTTCACATAAATTCCCTTAAAGAGGCGTTCAACATAAACTCTGTCCTCTTCCATGCCCTCTCTTCTTTAAGCCTCAATCCTTTCAATTTATTTACAAGTGACTACAGATGAACAAGAAACAGTACCAAGAGTAGTGGTTTATTCCTGCAGAACAAACCCTACTCCTGCTCAAATTGACTTGATTCTACTCCTACAGGGGCTGCAGAAGTGAATTGATTTTCTCAGAATTTAGATAAATTACTTACTATCTGCAACTTTGTGAGCTTCCCAATATCTGGCGGCAGGATTTCAAAATCGTTGTCACTTAGATAGAGTGCACGCAGGGTGGCTGCAAATTAAACAGCAATATATAAACAGGGTGACATGGAACCCAACCATTTGAGGTCTGATCAATACAAGGGAGTCAGCTTTGATTAATAACCCTGGCTTGGTGAGAAGCCTGTGACATACCTAGGGCTCACAATAATAACAAGCAGGTCAAACTTAGATTTACTGGCTTATTGTGGGGCTGGTGTGTTCAGGAAAATATCTATATCCAAGAGGACTGACACAATTAACAACTGTGGGCACCAGTAGTTTTTGGCACAAAATGTCAATATACCCTCAGAAAAGATAGCTATTTTTCTCCTATTACTTCCGATTCACATTTCTTACCCCATTTGCATCCAAAGTAAAACAAAGAAAACCACTGTGTCACTTATATCAATACTTAAGGCAAAAGGGCTCTTTCATGTAAAGAGAACTATTATATATATAAAAGCCTAAGCGACTGTTACAACCAGTTGACCAAACGACCAGTCACTATGAGGACGCACTGACCACCAGGGGGTAGACACTCAATGCAGGAGCTGCCCCCTGGTGGGTCAGTGTGCTCCCACAGCCAACCTCATGCAGTCCCTCCCCCTGGCCAGCTGGCCCCAATCGGGACTGGGTGAGACGGCACCGATTGGCCCCAATTGCTGGCCAGGCTAAGGGACCCCACCCGTGCACAAATTCATGCACTGGGCCTTTAGTGTTAAAAATAAATCAATTACTAAAAGGCTTTCCAGTGGTGGAAGCCATAATCACTGTTCACTGTTTCCATGATCAGACTCATTACAGTTGACCCCTGACCCATGAGGAAGTTAGAGGAAAGGACTCTCTGCACAAAGACCCACACATAACTTTTAACTCCCCCAAAAACTTAACTACTAATGGCCTCCTGTTGACTGGAAGCTTTACCAAAAACATAGCCGATTAACACATATTTTATATGTCATGTGTAGTATATACCATACCAGTATTCTTACAATAATGTAAGCTAGAGAAAAAAAATGTTATTATGAAAATCATGAGAAAATATATTTACTGTATTTATTTTTAAAAATCTACATATAAGTGAACCTGCCTTTGAAGTTCAAGTCTGTGTGTTCAAGGGTCAACTATATTATTACTTGTTTCTATGGCCTTAACAACAAAAATAAATGAAGACAAAGGGCTAAAATAATGACCTGGAGTCTAAAAATAGAGAAAACACTAACTTAGGCAGAATACCAATAATCAGAAATTTGTTCACAGTATTACACAATGGTAACATGATCCAAACTACTAAAATCCCAAAGAATCTTTTTATCCTCAACCAAAAAGGAGTATAAGCAGATGTATGTTTTCTTGTTGTTGCATTCATTTACATTCTAATGTTTTAAAATTCGACAGAATTGTATATTAATTTACATAATAAAAAACCATTTATTCCACAGCCCAAGAAAATATTTTAGAGTTGCTTTCACATGCTTGAGGAAGTCTGAGAGAGGGTATAGATAAGGTAAAAAATGTAACTTTAGAAACTAGCTCAGAAAATTCAATATTTCTGGATGCCATACATGTCACTATTTGGACAAGCAGAACACTCATTGAAGGAAAGTAACTCTTTCCTAAATATTTCACAAGTTCTTGAGAAAATAAGTTTTTCCTAATATTTATGAGCATTTGCAACAAGAATCTGTTAGCAATATGAAAAGCTAAAAGTGTTTAATTATATACTATCAACAAAATAGAATACATCAATAAGCGCACTTTTTAAAAATATACATATATATTTTTAAATATATTTTATTGATTTCTTACAGAGAGGAAAGGAGAGGGATAGAGAGTTAGAAACATCGATGAGAGAGAAACATCGATCAGCTGCCTCCTGCACACCCCCTACGGGGGCTGCGCCCGCAACCAAGGTACATGCCCTTAACCGGAATCGAACCCAGGACTCCTCAGTCTGCAGGCCAACGCTCTATCCACTGAGTCAATCCAGTCAGGGCTTAAAATACATTTTTACTGATTTCAAAGAGGAAGGGAGAGGAAGAGAAAGAAACATCAACTATGAGAGGGAATCATTGATTGGCTGCCTCCAGCACCTTGGACCAAGCCCGCAACCCAGGCATGTGCCCTTGACAGGAATCGAACCTGGGACCCTTTCAGTCTGCAGGCCGATGCTCTATCCACTGAGCCAAACTGGCTAGGGCAATAAGAGCACTAATTAAAACAATAATCATGACTGGAAATTTTAAAAATTCTGTCAGTGGTTTATTGATAGATATTTTTATAAATAAGTGATTGGAATATCTCTGGGCAAATATCCTACAAAAAGTTACCTGCAACACATATATTATTATATATTTCATGTTCTTTAAAAAAAGAAACTCAAACTCCTTAGCTAAATATCTCATTTAGATACATAATCTCTATCAGAAAGTTAATATGACATTATTAAAGTCCACTTCAGTGCAATGGTGTCAGATAACTATATATCAAGTACACATACTGCTGAGCTACAAAAGAAAATTCAAAAGGAATCTGTAAAGAAAAAAAATCTATATGCCCAATTTCTCTTGGAGTTTGGGCCTTGGTAAATAAATATATTTTTTAGAACACACAGTACCATTTTAAGGAGAATTACAGAAGTAAAAGTTTCTTACTCAGGTAGAAGAAGTTTCCAGGAAGGGAATTTTCATTCAGGTTGTTGTAAGTCAAATCAAGGACCTCAAGAGCTGGGAGAGAGCCAAATCCTCGAGGCAAAGTGTTTAGTCTATTCATGCTGTGGGTGGAGAAAAAAACCAAGACATCACATATAAAACATATGTTTAGACAGAATATTGAGATCACCTATGTCACAAGCCTAAGAGCCATATGTGAGGGGTTGAAAGCTTAAAAGAAGTCAAAATTCTATGATCACTATGTTATTTAACTAGCCTAGTATTTTTAGTCCAGGCCATGAAATATTTGAAAATGTCTTCGTTGTCATTTTCTCCAATGGTGATGTTCAATCACTGTTTTACACAGAAAATTAAATCTTCACAAAAATATCTGTCTGCTAGAGAAAACTTCCTTATGAATGTAGCAATAACACCTCAAAAGACACAGTGAGCTTTGTAGTTTTCACACTTGACTTTATTTCACTATTCCTCCTAAGGGGAGAGGAGGAGAATCATTTTTTTGTTCTGCAGCTCCTAACATTCAAACTGATGTCCAATTAGAATGGTGGTTACAGGGGACTGAGGGAGGGAAAACGGGGAGCAGTGTTTCATAGGTGTAGAGTTTCAGTTTTGCATGATGAGAAACTTCTGGATATTGGCTGCACAACAGTGTGAATAGACTTAACACAACCGAGTCATACACTTAAAATGGTTAAGATGCTAATTTTATGTTATGTGTATTTTACTACAATTGAAAATTAAAAAATATATATATATACATATATATATAAAAAATCTCCAATGAAATGTAAGAAAAATTTTTCTATTACTCTCTTTTATCATTTTTTTCAAGAACCTATTTTTCTTAACACAGTTCCGAACTTTGTGCATAGTTAAAAGTGATTTAAAAAAAATTTTTTTTAAATCTAATACAGACTGGCAGATGTGAAAAGGTGGGAGGAACTGTGACACTACAAATAATTCTAGACATCCATCCATCTCATATGAGCTACAATCCTGACCATACCCACCAAACAAGCCTTGAAAGAAAGAGTGACCACCTCTGAATGCTTAGAAAAGTCCTAGGTTAACTTTACATTTAACAAAATAACCTCCATGAATTCACAATTTGTGAAGCATATTTATATCATGTATTTCACCTGAATCACCAAAACTATCGTGTAATATAGGCAGGACAGCACTTACAATCATCTCTGTAATGTTGAGACGGGGAAATAGGCTGAGAGAGGTTAACGACTAAGGACTTTTGACTCAACTGATGAGGGTGACAGATGTCTGAGAGCACCCAGCACCTCATGGAAGGAAGGCACTCCTAATCATTAGACTACGATGCAACTGAAGAAAAAGTCCGAAGTAGTGGGAAGTGCACAGAAGTATACCTTACCTAAGTCGGCGATTTTCAAACTTTTTCATCTCATGGCACACAAACTAATGACTAAAATTATGCAGCCCACCATAAAAAAATGTTTTTTGTCGATCCGACAAAAAAAGAATAGTCATAAATTTTATTCATTCACACCTGATGGCTACTGTTGCATTGGCTGTTGTTATCTTTTATTTGACAATCTAGGGGAAAAGAGCTCAGTGCCCTGACTAGTCAGGTATCGCGTGTTTTAAAAATTCCTGTGGCACACCAGGTGAAAACCGCTGCCTTGAAAGCAAGGGGCATCTCACTGAAGAGAGTTCCCATCCCATCTCCACATATAGTGAGCCTGAATCTACTAAACTGCAGGTTTTCTTTCTCTTTGAGCAATAAACCACTCCCCCCTCCCCCCAAATGTCAGGAACACAGCAGAGCCCTGTAAGCTGCCAGCAGTATGTGACAGGAGTAGGCCCTCTGACCTGGTGGGTGGAAAGGGATCCCTGACTGAAATGATGCTGAAGGTCCAGAAGCGGTGCTGCCAATAGCCCCAGCTACAAACAATGCAAGAAGCCGTAAGGATACTGGCTGGTTCCCTCGACACCAGCACACACAAAACAACCAGAGAGAGCCTATCTCCACAGAATGACGGGTGTGCAGGAGGCTTCCCCCACAGTGGGCACTAACATCTACCTCCATCTACATGGGTGGGACTTGTGTCCTCGGCGTCCCCTCCGAGCACTGCCACTCAAGATGTCCAGGAGAGGTTACAGTAGGGGCAGTGGAAGAACAGATCTAAGTTTGAAGTCCAGCTCTAGCACCTGCTCCAATAACTTAGAGAAGTTATTCAGCTTCTCTGAGACCCAATTCCTCTTCATCTGTAATATAAGACTAGCAATACCTTCCCAGCAGACTCACCAGGAGGATGAGAGAAAACATGTGAAGCACTTAAAACAATCCGTGGCTCCTGAGTGGGTTCTTGAGAAATGACAGCTATAACTACAATTGTATTTCAAGAGGAGGTTTGAGAGGAATTCTGACTCAACCCCAAAGAGGCAAGCTCACCTTAGGAGAAAAGATCACAGTAGAAACCTCAACTATCAAGGATGGTTTTTCTATTTGCACCAAACCAGCTTACCCTAAGTCAACTCCAAGGTTGTGGCTCAACTATGCCAAGTGGCATCAATTCTTTGTTTGCATGTGGACATTTTCCACCTGTGTACTGGAAACGGGAAAACGCCTGCCTATGATGGAGAAACTTACAAAATCAGATTTTTTTTTCTCTTCCTCAAAAGCCACAGGAAAGCCCATACTAATGCTTCCCTTTTGGAACATTTGGATCTCTGGAGGTTCTCCTGGGCTCCTCTTAATTCAATAAAACCTTCTTAGCTGAAGGCAAGAATCTTTCTCACCTCCACAGTGACCGGTTCATACACTTAGCAGGATAAACATCAAAAATCCAAATCCGTAACACTCAGCGCTGTGCTTGGTGAAAACTCCTAACTGTTCATGAGATGAGCTCCAGCCTCTCATAGCGGAAAGTTATTCCAAACAGCTGGCCACGGTCCTCTCAACATGCGGTCATCCTTGAAATAATTACTAACATGTAACCTATGTGGCTTTACATTTTTTGGAAATTAACTCATAAAGTGAGCCACATTTAAAGAATTAAGAACATAACTCAACTTTCCTTTATTTATTCAGATGGCCTAAAAGTCCTTTCACCAGAATATACAGCAAATAGTACTATACAAACTTGAAAAGCAGAGTCTGGTGGAGTGTGCCATTCAGATTAGGCATGCACGTGGCCTAACTGTAGCATCTCATTTTATATATTTTCATTCAGGCTGCTTAGTCTAAGGAGTATGCTCTATATATCTTGCCTTAAACAGAACTTTAAGTATAATTTGTTATGCCATTGAGGACAGAAGTATCCTTTCTTGAAACCCATCTTAATTCTTTCCCAGAGAACTAAGAATTTAGTTCAAACTCTGACAATCCTATCTATGTAGCTAGATAATTAAATACAGAAAACTTTACACAATCAATAAAGCACTGAGAGCCAGAAATATGCAAACAACTCCCAGGACAATAAAGAGGTGACTCAGACACATTCAATAAAAAAGGAACCTTTACAACTCCATCCTGAGGCATCTGGAACCCAGCCAAACAAATTCTGAGCTCAGGACCTTCCGAAACCTGGCTCCACCTGTATTTCTATTTCAGCTGCCCACAGCAGATATCTAGGTATCATCCCATCTCATCCGTATCCGTCTTGCCAGTTTTACCTCCTCTGTATTTTTCACATACCATCCCTCCCCTGCCTCCGTTCTCACTGACCAAGTTCACCAGGAACGTTAATTTAGCATTCTGATGAGGCTCCTGACCTCCAGCCATACCTCCCTGCAGCCTCTCTTCACACATCCTTCATACAAAAATCTGAACCCATATTTTCCCGCCACTCCACTGTGCAAACTCTTCAATGGTCAGCGTGATAAAATTGGAGCTCCTTTATTTGACACTCAGGCCCTTCATTAGCACATTGACTCCTTGCTGATGATTTATCTGTTTACCTTCATTAGCACATTGACTCCTTGCTGATGATTTATTTGTTTAGTCTACTTCCCCAACTGTGATGTATGCCCCATATGGGCTGGATGGCCACTACCTACAACACATAGTTGGAAGCTCAAGAAATACTCATTAAATGAAGAGCAGAGATTCATGCTTCTCTTCTCCCCTCTTACCATACCGTACCATCCCTCACATTTCATACTCAACAACACCAAACCACCTGTAATGCCCGGAACATGCAGGGCTCTGAGCTTTCAAACATGTCATTCTCACAATCAGAGATGTCTTCCCACTGCTTAGAGTCTGAGAAATTCTTTCTGATGCATCAAGTCTGGACTCAAATACTACCCTTGCAGGATCTCTTCCCCTGAGAATCTTCCCTGTAGACTACTGTGCCCCTGCTCCCTCTCCCACTGCACTTCTAGAACCTGCCACACATCAGTGACCCAGCTGTACACTGTCACTGTTCGCTAACAGCCAGCTCTGCCCCTATTCTTACCGCCAGGGACTGTGATTTTCACCATTGGCCCCCAACACTAGCAAAGTTCTTGATGCAGAATAGGCACTTACATAGTCACACAAAAAATGAATAAAAAAAACAACAACAATGGTGATGATAATAGTTAACACTTACGTACTGCTTACTATGTGCCAGGTAGTGTTCCTAGCACCTGATATGTAAATAACAACTAATTTAATACATGAAAAAATTAATAGTAAGAATATATCTAGTTTTATATATCTAGTATATGTATCTAGCTTTAGATTCTTTACAGATGCAAATTAAACAGTATGACAATTTTCAAAACAAAGATCTAAAGAGAAGATCCTTTCTTTGGGTATATAGTCTCCATATTTATAGGGGGAAATCCCATCCGGCCTAAAGTGTTCTTTCCCCTCCTTTAAACACTACTTCCCCTTAGACATTAGGGGAAAAAATGCTCATGGATCTTAAAAATGTTCCTCTCTCAACCAGAATGAACATCAAAATAAGGAGTGTCTAACCAAAAACTCCCCATGGAAAGAATGAACTAAAACTCATTCCATGAATGAGATTTTTCTCCATGATTGCTTCTTATTAAATTGATAAATACCTGGCCAGCTTCTATTACCACTCCTTGTAAATCACTACCTTACTAGAGCATTTAATGGCTATGATTTCATGAATATATTACTTTGCACAGTGAATAAAGCAGGAGTGGGCACTTTTATCTGAGAGCTATAACGATGAAGCTGGCATTCAGAAGCCCAAGTTCTGGGTGGTATCTATGATGTCTGATGGACAAGGTCCTCTGCCTGGCATGGCCCCTAACCATAGGGGCCATTGGGAGCAAGTCACTTCACCTCTTGGAAAGGGCTTGGCTTCCTCTCCTGGACATGAAAGCAGGAGTGCCTGCCTGCCCACCCTTATAATGGTTGAGAGGGCCAAATGCTGGCAAGAGGACTTTGAAAACTATCAAGTAATATACAGAGCAAGGGATTATTCTTCATTGATACCTGCTTCTGCAACCTCAACTGAACCAAACTTCCTCTCTTCATCTTTGTATAAAGACAGACAAGATTAGAACCTCTTGACTACATAAAAGAATTGCAAGAATCAATAAAGCCATGTTAAGAAATGTACCTTCTCCTCAGAGAAGGAAGGTGCTTTGTGAACTACCTCTGCTTGACACAGAGAGCAGAGTCAACCACATTACAACTGGCCCGAACAGTTACAGCTAAGCAAGTAAGTCCCTTCAGGATCAATATCACTGAAATAAAATTTTATTGGAAACAAAATACAGTAAAAAAAAACAAACACACAACCTTATTGCACCAACAATTAGCTTCTCAATTAGTTCTCAAAGAGATCTGCACTAATGTAGGCCATTGTAAGGATGTATTAAAACAATAAAACTTCCAAAAAACCTAAAACATAAAAGGAAATGAGGAATCAGCTCCTCCCATGAGGGAACCCCTGCCCACGCCACAGTCCCTCCACCTCCTCCTCGTTTCCCTCGCCCGATACTCACCCGAGGTTCAGGTGCTTCAGTTTCTGAAGGCTGCTGATCTGTGTGGGCAGCTCCTCAATCTGGTTATTAAAAAAGTTAAGCACTTCCAAATTCTTCAGCTCTGCTATGTTTGCAGGCACCGCTATAAAGACAAAAAATGCTGATTATGAACTCAGGAACCTCACTCCTCACAGGGAATGCCAGCAACACACTGTATTTTTCTTCACATGAAAGAGAACCATCCAATATAATCATCTAATTCACATATACTTACATTTTGTATGTTTTTCCTAGATTGTAACTCACCAGTGAGTAGAAAGGGAAATGTTTCTTCAAAGGGCAAAGAGAATGTCTGTGCCACAAACAGCCTATAAGTGCATATTACGAAGCATATAAGCTTTATAATTGTCATACAATGTCTGATAAGTGCACTTTTCCTTCCTTTTGGTCTCCTTGCAGCAAGCGAACTCCAAGTCCCATTCTTAATGATACGTTCATCAAGCTGTGTTAATACTCTGGTATCTGAAGAGCTGTTCTCTTCACATTGCACTAAATCACAATTTAAGTTCAACCTTAAATGATAAAATATTCAACCTACCCAGTCTCTTATTTTGGCCCTGACCTTTGCACCCTGAACAGTGTACACACACACACACACACACACACACACACACACGTTACATCAGCTTAGCAACAGATCAATGCACTGTTATTATATAGAATAGGAAAAACCAACTCAGTAGCATGATAGGAATACTAATAGGCAGGTCAATACTAACAGTCGGGGCCTGACAGATTCTTCCTTCCCTACAGTATACCTGCAAATACAAATTTAAAAGCAAAGGCTTCTTTATCTCAAAAGTACTAATTCTCGATTGGTAGCAGAAATGCTTCCCATAGATTGTACTTCATGTATCCATTTGCTGATTCAAGTTTTCTATAAATATTTTATTGGCCATGAACTTATTGTCCATGATTCATACAAACACCAATCCCAAGACTATGCAGGTAACTGAAGCCATTGACATGGGCCTTGGGCACAACACAAGAATTCTGTCTCATGTCAGTACATGTACTTTCCTTCCCACCAGTTCCCTCCAGCGAATGCTCCAGACTGCTGAGAAAACCGAGGAGCACCTTTGCTTAGTACCATTGCAAAGGTGTGTGTGAAATCCCAAACAGACATCTAAAATACTTACAGAGAGCACCATTCCAAGAACTCTAGTGTGTAACTCCGGGGGAATAAGTAAAGAGGACAGGCACACTGTTCAATCTAGTCTGGGGTCATCGTTTCAACTTTATAAAATGTCTAAGATATCGATGACAGGATTTCTTTTAAAGGGAAGAGGCCTGGTAAGAGATAAGGGACATGCTTTCCTTGGAGGAGGGGACTGTGAATAATACAAATCATTCTAGACTAAGGGACGAGGAAGCAGTGATCCAGATGGAAAATGAGCAAGGCATATAGATTTGTTTCCGAAGTGGCTGGTGGTAGGGATGGAGACAAGAGGACAGATTTTAAGGGGATAATAGTGGCAGCTGGGAAACCACGCTCTTGGACACCAATATGAATGCATGTGAGCCCTGCCTATACAATTTGACTACAAAAGCACATTTTTAGATGTGTAGTCAAAAACACACTTTTATGCAAATGAATGGTATTCACTTTATGTAAATGATCATGAAGAAAATCAGGCTGTGCCTGCTGAGTCGCCAGGTGTCAGCTTACCTTTTCTGAACCTGGACCATGAAGTGTATGAGCTCCACAGATGACAACATTGCTCAGAGGCCCGCCTGTTCTCCTGTTCCCCCTCCAGCTACCACAAAGTTTCTCTCCTGCCTTCATCTGATTAGTTTGAAGAGCATTAAAGAAACAGTGCAACCAGGAGAAAATGATGATCCCAATTTAGCCACAAACCAAGAATAATGCAGCCAGAATTACTGCTGCCTTCCCAAAGTTACTTTGCCAATGCAATTAAATGTTGGTCTGAAGGTATCGCCTTTTTGACAGGATGAGAGATTATTTCACTCTCCTTGCTAAATCAGTCCAATTTAAAGCCACAAATTATGCGAAATGTGATTTAGGGCCCTGTTTTGTGGACATAAACAATAACCCCACATTCAATTTACTAAACCTCTTCCAGCCTTTTGGTGTGCATGTGAATTGTGTGTTTAAGACTCCATTCAAGCTAGACAGGGGGAAAAATTACACAGCTAATATTCTCCCTAAACCACAGAGTTTTTCCCATGGCCAAAGTAAAAAGCAAAAGAAATTAACATTCAGACCTGTGTGGATGGGATAACATTTGCTCTTTCAACCAATATTTAGCGAATGCTTATTATGTGCACAGCACCATACCTGTAGCACCTAGCATTTCAATACTTTGAGAATAAAGTAAGAGAGGCATACTATTTAAAGAAAGTAATCTACAAAAGGAGTAGGCGATAAATGGAAACAGGACTAGTGCTTAGAAAACAAACTACAACAAAACTGCCCATAAAAAATAACCAACTAACATAATAACTTGTGCAATAACTAAACCATACACATACATGGCAGGAAAAATTTATGAGACGCTATCATAAAAAGATGGCAGCAATATGTCACTGGTCAGAATATTCTGGTGGAATTTTTCAAGATACCTATGTGACACATTAGCAAGGGTAGTATTTTAAACTATTAACTAAACAACGTGCACCTGTATATTTCTTATTATGGGTTTGTAATGTTCCTTTCTCATCAATCTGTCCAGATTCTGACTGTGATCCCAGCAGTACATGTGCGGCCTGTAGACAACCCCGCACAACCGGCGGTGGACTTGTTCCCTGGGCTGCGATGGTGAAACACTACGAACATGTGCCCATTTCCAGGGACACCAGTGTTACAGACCCAAGGGCCGAACAAGGCCTGAAGATACCATATCTGGGATAAGGTAAAGCAAAATGCAGTGACTAGCACAGCTGCCCCAAATCTGACATGACTTCTGTGAATGCGTCATTCAAGACATCTACCTTACTGCAGAATGCTAGCTCTTTGCACATAAAAATGTTTTTAAAACACTTCAATTATTGCCCAACTGGTTTGCCTCAGTGGACAGAGCGTCCGCCTGCGGACTGAAGGGTCCTGGGTTTGATTCCGGTCAAGGACGCATGCCTGGGTTGCAGGCTTGAAACCTAGTAGGGGATGTGCAGGAGTCAACCAATCAATGATTCTCTCTCATCACTGATGTTTCTCTCTCTCTTTCCCTCTCCCTTCCTCTCTGAAATCAATATATATTAATAAAATAAAATAAAATAAAAATAAAACTTCAATTATTTAAAAAAAAACACAACAAAAAACATGAAGTGGAGACAGACTCATGGATACAGAGAACAGACTGACAGCTGTCAGAGGAAAGGGTTAGGGGCTTGGTGAGAAGACTAAAGGAATTAAATAAAAAACAAACAAAAAACTTATAGACAGACAATAGTACGGTGATTACCAGAGGGAAAGGGGGTGGCGGTGGAAGGTAAAAGAGGGTAAAGGGGGGAAAATGGTGATGGAAGGAGAATTGATGTGGGGTGGTGAACATACAATACACTATAAAGATGATGTATTATAGAATTGTATACCTGAAACCTATATAATTTTATTAACCAATGTCACCCCGATAAATTAAATTTTAAAAAATATTTTTGTCTGTTTTCACAAATAAATATGTCTGGTCAGATTTTCACATGCTTCTCTTGACTTAAAAAATATTTTTTAACTTAAAAAGCTTTAAATTTTTTTCTTTAACAGGGAAGAATAAAGTAACAGAGAGGGCCCGTAAAGGATATTAAAATGAGACAGGGTGTTTAGATTCCTAAGTTACACTGCTAACAACAAAGTGATTAGAAAAATTACAAAACTCATGAGAATACATGAAAATGAGTGAGATTATTCATCATACATACAGTGGCTAGGAAGACCATTTAAGAGAAAATGGTGAAAGCAAACACTGCTTTGCCTCAATATCTGATGAATGGGATACTGGATAGCAACCACCCCCCTTCTCCCTGAATGAGGCAAGGTAGGAAGCAGCACAATAAGCGGAACTGCATAAAACATGACTTGAGACATTGCTGTCAGAGTGAAAGGACAGCCCTTTGGCTCCTCAGCCACAATAGCTAGCAGACATAGTCTATTCACACCAGGGCTAATGTCTAGACTAATTATACAGATGCCAATCCTTTCAGCCAATTAGGATCATAGTCTTGAATGCCATTTCAGTGATAACATGTAAAAGAACCTCTTCATGCTCACATATAAATAATTATGCTCTTCAGAATTTTATGCAAATAAATTCATTTGTACTTATACTGACTAATGGCTTTTGTTTTCTGGCCAAAAATACACAAGGTAAATAGTGAACTAATGATACGTTAGCGTAAGAATTTGAAGTTCAAAAGTATATACTAATGATAACTTTGCAGATTTTATGGGATTTCCCCCAAAGCAGGTATTAAAACAGTGAATTACAGTAGTTATGGGTTATTTAAAAATGTAAAGTTTATGAAACAGTAAAGCAAAATCTCATTTAAAATGATCTGCATGGTCCTCAAGGTAAAAATAAAGTTGCAAAATATCTAAACATCCACCCTGTAAGAGCCACCCCCCCCAAATATTTATCAGCTTTATAAATAACAATAGTAATGCTACTTTTGTTTACTCAGCAGTATTTACCAAGTACTCACACCTACAAGTACATACTTATTGTATCCCATCATGAGGCTCCTAAGATTCTGCAGCTTAAGTAATTTTAACCAAAAATATCCATGACTTAATTCACTACAGGAAAAAAAAATGATCCTACACTTTCAGCAACAATGAGAATAATCAATTATACAAAAATTAGGTGGAAAAGTTACAAGTAAGCAGTAGGCAGATTTTTACAGCATAAAGTCAAACATGCAAAAATATATGTCCCTGGGCTATAAAAAGTATACACACAGAGCCAAACAAATCTAAAAAGCTGAGGAATCTCAGAGGGAAGGTGGGGGAAGAGATTAACCAAAGAACTTACATGCATAACCCATGGACACAGACAATAGTGCCGTGAAGGCCTGGGGAGGGGGTGGGAGTGGACTGGAGGGGGTCCATGAGGGGAAAAAGGGGACATT